TGCATTGGCAGTTGCAATGGTTAACTGGCGTCTTGTTACAGCGAGGCGTTTGACTGTTATTTGCATTGGCCAACGTATTTGTCGCTCCATTGACATGCAACGTGGTACCCATCATTAAAAGCAAGATAAATGACATAAAAGACAAATGCATCATAAGAAGTGGTATAGACGGTGCTTTGCAATTGAAGTAACAATTGAAGGCCCGATAGTTTGTTTATCGTAATTACCACTCCCTTTGGCCAGCAGCAATTCCTCATTTGCGTAGAAACTACGCAGTCGTTATTCAGGCAATCTCCTCGCCAGAGCCTTTGATTGCTGGCCACGCACGTTCCTTAAAGTATCTGCTGTCTCCAAACGTTGTTGAGCGCACTTAGCTTTAACGACATCTTCGAGCGCATCGCCACCGAAACTTCCCGCCTTGCCCACTACAACAAGAAATCAACCATCAGTTCTCGCGAGATCCAGACTGCCATCAGGCTGCTTCTGCCCGGTGAACTGGCCAAACACGCTGTCAGTGAAGGAACCAAGGCTGTGACCAAATACACCAGCAGCAAGTAAACTCACTTTGTGGGTTTACCGCCAAAACCAACGGCTCTTTTAGGAGCCACCAAATGTCATAAAAATCATAACCAATTTCAATATTACTTTCTTCATTTTTAATTCCTTCTTGAAATCCTTCGAGTCGATTCTTTTGAGCGACGAATGAACTAATCGAACTTAAACCGACTCAAATCATTCGCGAGACCAAAAACAATATAAGTTAACTGAAGTACCGGTAACTATTGTTGGCTTCACACTAGACGCGAAGTTAGGTCCGGTTCAGACACCGAACTTTTCGATTTATGAGCCGAACCCACCTAATTCGAATTAAGGCTGACCCGAATTATTTAGTCCGGCTGAATTGATTTAGACGCCGATCTTGTACAAAATGCTTACGAAATACGTTATAAATTATTTAGCATTTGGTGTCAGGGGTACATGAAAAGTTCGGCGTCTGAATCAAAGTCGATCCAAAGTCGAAATTCCCAGCAGGGCTAGGCGGAAACAACAGCTCAGCCGTTCCAAGTTAAAACAGGCGTTCCTAGTTGATTCAGACGCCGAACTTTTCATGTTAGTCTAGTGTGAAGCCAACAAATATCCCGGCAAAGGGTAACGCAAATAATTCCAGATACATTTATAATACAATAATAATACAAATTCGAAAATGTTTTTCTTGCAATGGCATGGTAAGTAAAAGTTTTTCATCAGATATAAATAAAACAACTAAGTTACCCGCCCGCAAGAAACCGAGAAACATTTACTTGTCGCGGGACACTGTACGTGGAAACCCGGGAAAAGCAAAAACAAGGGATTTGGAGAGGGTTTGTTCGTGTGTCAATCGTTTCAGCCCGCGCCCTCCCATGTCCTTTCTCGTGCCCTCACGCCTCGCGCGTGAAACTGCGCCTCACGCGAATCTCCACAGGGCTTGGAGAGAGAAGATGCCCCGGTAAAGCCCCGGTAATGCCTTACTCTTTTCTTTCTCCCCAGCCTCCCTACGACACAAAGAAGCCTCTGCGGTGGGAGGAGAGAGAACAACCTAAAAGTAAGCAGTTGAAAAGGAACCTGAAAAATTCAGGCTTGACCGGGACTTTGCGATGATTGGACCCAACGCTCTATCCATTGAGCTAATCAAGCCAACAGGAGAACGCTCAACGGCTAATCTCGTACCCAGATCTCACTCTGTCTTCTTGAGGTTGTTCATTCAACTGCGAGGATCATATTTACTTTCATATCTTTATCTGCAGTTCAAAATATGATTCATTTTATATATTTCAATCCATGAGAGACGGTTGTATTCGCAGGCTACTGGCTACACATGATTTCTCTGAAATGAAGATTTTTTCAGCGATTGAGATAGCCTGAATTTCAGACGATTACTTCGAGTCGTTTCCTCCTCTCACCGAGGGAGTAAAAACGACTTGAAGTAATCGTCTGACATTCAGGCTACGATTGAGACCCATAATGTATATGAATCGATCAAAAGTCAAAAGAAAGGATAAAAAAGCGGCTTCAATCAGGGCTCAATTAATAAAACTTTTACAAGTGTAATTTACAAGTGTGCCCATTGCTTTAGAGTCTGAAAACAATAGCTACACTCTTAAATTACAGTTGTAAGAGTTTTATTAAATTGACCCCTTTCACCCAGTGATAAACTCCCGGATGCAAAATGTCAGACGTATGTAGTTGGTTTGAACGACAAAAATATAGGTTGTCGATGACTACATGTGGCTACTACTGCAAAGTAGAATGAAAATTGGACAGGCTGCATTCTTTTATTAACTGAACAATAACATGTTCAAGCCCCCAGGATAACAGACATTGAAAATACCATAAAGTAAACGATAGTTAAGATGGAATGATGGATAAAAATTTCTCAATATTCATTTTAAATCATAATGGTCTAAAACAACAGCAGACAGTGAAGTTTTGTTAATAAAAGGTAGATCGCGTTTGAATCTGCCTCCGAATGTCTGTGAGGTGCAGATTCAAGAGACTAGCTGATCAGTGAAATTATGCCTTTTGAACATTAACAACCACAACGAAGAATAGGTGTCCTGTTTGAATCTGCTCAATATGTGCATGAGTTGCATCATATTTAAAAGGTCAACGGACTGGAGAATTCCTAAACAATAGGGAACTTACTAGAACCACGATGAAGTTCACGACGACGACGTCTGTTGACTGGGAAAAGACTGGAACGAGAACGTCTGTTTCGGCGGGAAAAAATGCGGGAAAAAGGAAAGTTAAGATGCAGTCGGTCGGTAGGTCGACGACGACGACACTGAATGTAAACACAGACGTAAAACTGTGATGTTCGTTCGCAACAAAGTTTTTCGCAATGGCGTCTTTCAAAACAATGCAAGATCTAATTTGTTCAAGCCGTACATCTAATTTCATTGACGATGAAAAATTTTTTGTGTTGTCTAACCTTTTCGAGTGGAAAAACACCTACTTTCCGTACGAAATTATTCAACTTAAAACTTTCAACTTGAATGAGATGACCGAGTCCGAGTGTCTGTCAGAGTTTAGATTTCGAGAAAGAGACATTCTGGTGTGATAGCTGTTTTCCATATAAAGTTTATTTCCTCTATATCAAAGATATACGATTTGCCTTACCTAAATACGTACAAATAAATTTATCACAATTCACTTACGAGTTCGCTCGCTCGGCCTCCTCAGCTGTTGTCATTCTTCAAAGTAAAATCAATTCATTAGTCGAATTTTCAATCAACATCGCTTGCTAGGAGAAAAAAGGAACGACACCTGGATTTAGGAGGACAAGAAAATGCAAAGGCCTTCAAAAATCGCTTAAAACAGTGGATTTATACCTGCCGATGCTTGCGGATTACAGGACGACGTGATTCTACTTTGTTTGGCGTCGTCGACGACACCACGACGACGAGTATGTCTAAATGTCGCGGGTCGCGACTCGCGGGTAGAGGCCGCGGGTGCGGGTGCAGGTCGCGGGTAAACATAAATCACCAAATTTAATATTAAATTATCAATAAAATAAAGGAAAATTTGATTATGTTTCAAAGAAGATTTGCAATACTTTTTTTTTTGGTCCACTGGTCCTAACGAGGAAGTCTAGTTATTTAAAGCTAACTAAGGACGATACAAAGGAAAAAGTCACTAAAGAAAAATCCACATGCTTAAAACTACATTGGCTAGTTAAATTTGCACCAAGTAACCGAGATACCTGCGTTTGGGATTTGTAAGGGAGGAGGTTCAAGTTTTGATAGAAAAAAGAAAAGTATTTCGGGTTCACGTTCTCTCCAAAGCTTGAATTTAACTTGAAGTAGTCATTTTATGTAGCTGTTTTGCAGACTGCATGACTTTTTCAAAAGTCAATAGTTGGCCCTTTGCTGACCTCTATATTACCTATATGTAGCAGCGAAGTGAATTGAAAAGGGTATGTAAAAATTCAGTGCCCGCTTTAAACAGCCGAAACCCCATCGGACTGAAAAACTTACTTTAATTAATACTTCTTTTTTCTTTTCTAATACTTCTTTTTTTTCATTTTTCTGCAACCCAAGACAAATAAAATTATTGTAGGGGTATAAATGCGTAATCTGCCAGTTGGGTTTTGATAATTACCATGTTGCGAGTGGTCAGCCTTAAATAATGTTCCCTCCATGCCTAGAACATTTCTCTCTTCATTTTCGAGTAATGGAAAAATCAAAATTTCGTCAAGAATCCTCCCCCCCGGCCAAGACCAGAAAATGGCAAGTGAAACCAGGGTTTAGCGCTGTGATAAGTTAGACATGAAAGAGTTAGAAATAGCTGTTACATTTAAGAAGACGATATAATACTTGAATTAGAACGTTTTTTGTTTTTCAACAACGAGCCCTTGAAAATTAAACAAAAAGAAATGATTAAGTCCTCCAACAAGATCTTACAAAGGTGGCTACTTCTTTGACAAAAACAATCTCCCCTCCTCTTGAACCACATTCTTGACCACCCCCTATGTTTTCTCTCCCCTTCTTGACCCCTTCTTTATTCAGTGTAAGCGTCCGCAGTGTCAGCTTATATGACATGTCCACTTAAAAGAAGTGGTTTTCTATGTATATATATGAAGACATAATTTGGTTCATCGAAAATACAGCTTTGATTTTTTTATGAGACTTGCGTGTACTTACTTCCTCAGCAAAAAGTATGAATCGATAGTTGTCATTCGTCGTTCGTGCTAAATTTTGGCGCGGTTGTACGAAAGAACTTGCCGTCCTGGTAAATCGAATTTTTCCCACGTTACTGGCTGCTTGATCACGGCAACAATACCAGTGCACTTGGGTAAAACTCTCATTCATAGTTCTGATTTCACAGAGTGACAAAAAGAAAGAATATTTCAAGTTTTACTTCGATCGATCGATTCTTTATACTGATGGAGTCGGTAGTTCCGTTGCATTTTGAGGGCCATACGATTAGCGCTGATCGCATGGGCCCCCAAATACGACAACACACAATAACATATGTATTAAGGTGTTTCCTATAACGTCCGTTTACAGCATAGTTAAGTTATTATTCACTTCTATCGGAATTTTTACTTACGCAGAAAACGTGTTTTATACGCAGTTCTTTATTAGTTGTATTCATTACCTGAAGAAGTCTCAGTAAGAGACGAAACGTGTCGGAAATAAACGAAAAAGCTTACAACTACAAGAAGTCTTCCTTTGCGCTGCTGACTAGTCTTCGTTAGAAAAGTTGTTTATTTTATCTTTTGGTTAAATTTGGTGATTTATTTTTACCCGCGACACTTACCCGCACCCGCGACCTTCACCCGCACCCGCACCCGCGACCTCTACCCGCGAGTCGCCACCCGCGACATTTAGACATACTCCATGACGACGAAATTTACTGGTCGCGCTTGCGCAGTACAGTGTAACTCACTTCCGGTCGTCGTCGACCAAGCCGTCGTCGTGGTTCTTAAGTTCCCTAATGTCTTTTGAACCACAACCGTGTGTAACACAACAATAAATACCACTTCGGTTGGCGGAAAATCTCCGCAAAGCTTGAGTGAAGCCGAAAACCACTTTGGGGCAAAACACCTGAAACGTAAATCTGTAAATTGAGAGCTGTACCTGGTTGCAGGTGCCAAATAGCAGAGGATCATGATCAGAAAGAGAGAGATCTCCCCTTGAATTGCACCCAACAAGACAGAGGGCAAAAACCAAGAAGCACATGGCAAGTAAAACTACTTTTACAACCGGTCATATTTCGACAAGGCGCGCAACACCGTCGCTATCGATCGCTCATCTTCGAATCGACAATAACTCGTGACTGTACAAAGACATGAGTTTCGAAACACAGTAAACATTTTTTTGTTCCCATTAGGGAATCAATGTTGAACTCATTTGTGTCTCGTAAGACATTTTTGGTTCGTTCCCAAGAGGGAAAAAAAGTGCGTCTCGAAGGACATTTTCTGTTCACCACAAGAGTCGACGATCAGTGTCGGCAGTGTCCGTCAAAATCCCGAGCACTTTCCGAAGGTTAGGACTACTTACAACTACTTCTACGAGTAGTAGCCACAAAAAGAATGGACGATAATAGTATGTTTAATTATACGAAAAAAACGTCACTCAAATCATTTTTGTTTATGTAATTGTTTATCACGTTTTAGTTTACAGTAAGTAAGTTGTTTGTACACATGAGAGAATGAGCTGCACTTGCTGTTCTTTACCCAGGCCAGAGCTCTTACATTCATACCACACGAAAATTCAAGCGCAATCATATTTTGTGCTCAGTCTACAGGCGTGTTTTGCATTTGTCTCAGGCCAGTTTTTTAACCCGAAAGTAATGACTCCACGCGTAGATATAGGCATATTTTTATCCCCTAAAAATTTTTCATCTGTTCGGATTTCCCAGCTGAAGTCTAGAGATCCGAAAATTATATGGATCAAAACTTAGCTTTTCGAAAATTTCAGCCAGAAAAAAGGCTCCCGAAAATTCTAAGTGACCTTTTTAAGGTTAAAAATCGGTTAAAAATGAGCAATTATGCCATTTTTTAGATGTTCGAAAATCCTGGGAGAGGGAGGCAAGCAAGAAATCTTCAACAAATGTCCGAAAATTCGAGATCTTAAAGTCGTCTTCCGAACAGATATTTTCCAAAAATTGACGTTGGGTACCACTGATCAAGATCATGAAATAAGTTCTCTTGTCTAATGAAGTATTTTTGTTTTTGATAAGGACTTAAGACCTTGGCGGCGCATCCCTACCCAAACTTCTCTTGAGTGCCATCCCCTTGCCCTCTTCTGGAACACCTAACCAAACTTTTCCATAAGAAAGACAAGACATTTTATGCCTGGTGGTCATTTGACGTTTATTTTTGATTACGCGTGACCCAGGGTTTGGGCGAAGAATTCAGATATGATAATGCTCTAGAAAGAGACAAGAAAATTATCCAAGAAAGAAGATCAAGAAATCCAGATTGAAATTTAATCCCGGGCTAGCGCTAATCGGTTGTCGAACAATTGGGCCATAAGAATAAATTAGCCATGCGGAACGGTCTATTTTGTGACTAATAAGTGAAACGTCGAACCGGAAAACTGCTGATTGCCTTGCAACTTCCAACTGCTAATTTTTCTTATCTTGTAAAATCTTTAAGTATGCGGGCATTCTCGTCCCCAGAGCCGCTTGGCCCTCTTAACCGTCGGAGACTGAGCACGAGGGCCGAAATGTGCAGTATCGTTGTTTAATTTAACAAGTTAGAAATATTATTTATCCCAAAAAGTCAGAATATAATTCCAACAGAGACGTTGAAAAATACAATTTAACCAATAGGGAGTGCACTCAGTCTGATAGTTTGAAAAACGCCTTCAAATGCGCTACTGACAGCCTGTCAAGTAGAGATTTTTCACAATTCTCGACTGCCATATCAACTATTTTTGAAAACAAAAAAGAATTAACGGACTGAAGGAACAGGCTACAATCCATATTAATGTAAATACAGTGTCAGATAAATAATCAGTAGATAACATGGGTGACCTGCATTTAAAACTGTTGATATTCCACCGTTATCAACAAGAAGTATACATCTTGATGCAGAGTTAAAATTCTGCTTATTTTATTAATGATTCCAGTCTAATACGATAAAGATTGGGAGCCTACTTTATGAGTTAAGATAAAGCCTGCTATGAATACTCATGAAAATAAAGTAAAAGAGAAATTTACTTGCCATTCTTCTATAAGATGGGCTTCATCTACTACAACAGCTCTCATCTTCTCCCTGACCTGATCGCTGTCCAACACTTTTCTTAAGTTTCCTAGGAATGCCTCGGGGTGGCCGTAGATAATTCTAAATTTTGCTTGCGCGATTCCTTGAATATCTGCATCCGATACAGAGTCACCACAACGAATTATCAACGTTTTAACATTCAAATTGTCAAGCTTTATTATCTGATCTCTCATGAGTGCGTTTAATGGTGAAACAACCAAAATGAAAGAACCATTCGTATAAAGCCAAGAGTCAAACACAAATGGTAACATCTGAAAAATCAAAGATTTTCCAAAACCTGTAGGCAAAACAACTAAAACGTCTTTCTTTCTCACAACAACGTTTTTTACCGCGTTTTCCTGCTCTTTTCGAAGTGTTAATGTCCCCAGATTTAGACAACGTAAAGCTGTTAACAGGGATTCCTTGAATTTAATGTCTGCTGAGGCCGCCATTATGATTTGTCGAGCTTGCGCAGAACGACCGGAACTCCTAAATTCTAGGACTTCCGGATTCTGTGTCCCCAGAGCTTCGGCCCTCGTGCTCAGTCTCCGGCGGTTAAGAGGGCCAAGCGGCTCTGGGGACGAGAATGGTATGCGGGCACTTTTGCAAGATCTTTTAGTGGCCTGGGGGTATTCGTCTCTTCTTTTTGTTGGTCTTGAACTCCTGTTTTCTGCACCACTGATTTTGGCATATGAAAGTCAAACTGTAACAGAACAGTAGCAAATGACATCGCTTTGCCATAAAGCTCACTTCGCATTTCATAGAAATGTAAAAAGTACACAACTTCTTCAATCTCAACCTCTCCTGTTTCATGGTTAATGAAATACATGAAGATTGGCGCACCGGAAGAGCCTGGGCATGTAGCAATTGAGTGATCAACAAAGGGATCTTTTCCTTCTAGGAATTCCAAGTAGGCTGTATCATTTTGACCATACACTAGATTCAGGAGATAAACGTGAAAAAGACAGGACTCCATAGCTCCAAAAGACAACTGCTGGCTTGAACAGTGCGGGTGGGAAATGGTAAACAATCTGAGTGAGCGAGGAAACGTAGACATCTCTGGATGGGAAATCTCGAAATAAGAAACATTTCGAATTTCTTCTTGTGCCGTTGGTTTAAAAGCTTTTATTTCCAGTAGTCTTACCTTGGCAAACTTACGTTTCTCGTCTTCCTTATCCAGCGGCTTCAGAAACAAAATTGCATAATCCAAAAAAGCCTCAGGTGCAGCTAATACGGGTGCCAACTGATCAAGAATCGAAATGAGTTCAGTGTCAGTTTCAGAAGGTGGAGACCCAGCTCCTTGTAACGCTGTTTTCGTTTTACGCAGCAAGATATCTTTGTCTTTATTCAAGTCTGGTGGTGATACGTTTCCGATCCTTATGACCTCGCGAGGTACGTGGGAGCCTTGCTCTATCCCGTTATAGAAAGAATAAACTTTAACATCACCTGGCTTAACTGTCTCAAAATCACTGCCATTACCACTTCCTAGTTTTCTGATCGTGTGAGAATTGGTCAATACAATATCGCCTTCATAGTCCTTCAGTTGATCCATTCGGACATAGAAACCCGTGCCACAATGCGACTTGACTTTCACGCATACCACAGAGTCTGATAAACGTTCGAGGCATTTCAGTGCTTTCTCCGATTCAAGAAATAATTTATCTTCTTCAGTAAGCCTTTTGTCGTTGACTATTTTTTCCCTGTCTTCGCTTGACAGATCTCGAAAGCCGAAGACGTCTTTGAGTGGGATATAACGTTGATGATAATTTGCATCTTTCTGGAGCTTACCGCAAGAATGCCAGCCTTCATTTCTTTTTAATCTGCCAACTTCTTCTTCTCCCCCAGTCTTCAACAGTTCTGACTCTTCGCCTCCTTCGTTATACTCCCACTCATCATCATAGTGTAGCTCTCCGCGAGAAGCCATTACTTTCTACTGATACACGGTATGAAGGTGGAATCCGCAAAGGAACTGACAGAAAATGGCTAGACGCTGTGCTGTAATAACTGAAACAAATATAACCGTGGGCTTCCTTTTCTCAACATGAAGTGCTGATTCTTAATGTTTTAACGCACGAAGACTGGCTAGACGTAAAACGCGAAAACCCTAAACGAACGATAATAAAATGCACAGGAATTATATTAAGCCCTTGGCATGCGGAATTAGCTCAAAGTGCAACATTTTCGGCAAATTTCCATGCGAAGTCTGCAGTCCGCTTGGCTGACGACAATTGATGCGATCCAAATCAGGCTCCCCCCCCAAAAAAAAACGTGAAAAAGACCGCTGATTCACAGGTTACCCAGAGGCAAACGATTTGATGTACGAAATTATGTGATTTCAAGGGGCACGCATACACTAAGTTTTGGCCAGTACCTCACGCATGCGCACAGCCATAACACCCGGGCAGTGGCAGTTATGGACAGTTGTTTCGCCCTTATTGGGGCTCACAAGCAAGGCATGTCCATAGCTGCGACTGCCCTTAACCACTGCCCGGATGATGTGGCTGTGCGCATGCGTGAAGTAGTGGCCATGCCGTGGGTTGGTATATGTGTGCCCCTTGCTTTAAGTAAAATTAAGTTTGTCTCATAGTTGATACCATTTATTATGCTTTAAGAATAAGTTCTAGCTTTTGAGTCTGTGGATAATTTCTCTACTTTCCTAGTGTGATCATTCTAATGAAACCTATTCAGCACTACGTTTGCAAGGTACTATTTTAGCCTGGGATCAGGCTCCGCAGTGGGGAAAAAATGGCGATAACAAAATCGGCCAGCGAAGCGAGCCGAGCGCTAGTCTGAAGACCACTCCACCCCCGTCCCCCTCTCCGCTCTCTTCGATCACGGGTTTTCGCTGTTTTACTCGTTTTTTGTCTTTTTCACCCCACTACGTATAGCCAGGGGCCTGACGGAGCCTGGTCCCCGGCTAGTACTGTTTTTGTGCTTTGGGAGTGCAAACCGGCTGGAAAAGTGCCCTGGGGACGAGTTTGTACCACTGACTTAAGAACAGGCAGTAAACAATATTAAGGTGTGTTAATAATAATAATAATAATAATAATAATAATAATAATAATAATAATAATAATAATTTTGGTGTTTCTGTAAATGCATTTGGACTTTGATATGTTGGCATGTTTATTTTAGATTGTACATCTAGTAACCTTACTGACCATAAGAACTAAAAGGCTTAACAGGGCAATTACGGTAGATATAGATTTCGACTGGTCTGTTGCAGTTCACTTCATTCCTAGCTCAGAACGGTAGCTAGCGGGGGAGCAGGGCGGGGGGGCAGCTGCCCCCCCTGGACCTGTTGAGTCAGACAAATCAAGTCGGGATGGATTTGTTTTTTTAGACTCAGATATTTTGATTTTAGTGACTTGCAATTGTTTGCCATTTTCATGGCCGAGAAACTGGTTGGTCCACGGTGTGTAAAGCAAAAGGAAGCAAAACCCCCGATTGAAATTGTCGTGTATACCTTATTATAGTAAATTAACGCTCCATGAAATTAACGCGAATCGTTAAAATTCGCGTTAATTTAAGTCGCGTTAATTTTGTTGAGCGTTAATTTCCGCAACGTTAATTAAGTGCAGCGTTAATTTCCGCGCTCTTAATTTCCAGTATTTAAACCCCAGTTTTGGAACCTGTCCAGACATTCTTGACACCTAAAAAACATTAACTACAAGCTTTCTTTCTTTCCATTTACCCTTTATTTTTCGTCTTTCACAAAAGCTAAGGCGAAGGTTTCCAATATTTCGAGTTCATCTTCATCGCTGTAGCTGTCACAAGTGATGTCATTTCAGTTTTTTTCAGTTTTGAATTTTTTTGCATCCAGTGTTGAAGTAAATTTGTTCCAGTTGTCACCACCAACTGTGTCTTAATAGTGTTAATTTCCTTTGTTATGAAATTCTACCTCCTCTTTCGCGTTAATTTGCTTTATTCGAAAGTCGTTTTCTATTAAATTCGCGTTAATTTAAGTCGCGTTAATTTCCAATACCTTAGTTTCATGGAGCGTCAATTTCCTATGATAAGGTATGTACTATTCGGCAAGGTTCACTCTAATTTACAGAAAGTTCCTGTAATGGCACACCAGTAGTGTAGTGTTTCTTGTGAAAGATCCTTCTCTGCTCTGAGTCGTCTGAAGCTATGGACACGTTGACCGCCGTAGCTGCCGCGCAAGGATGCTTATTCATCGTGGAACCGGACATGCCAACGCCAAAGGATATTTATGAACGAAAATCAATCTGGAGACATCTTTTATAGGTTAGTTAGCCACACATCATACAGTATTGTGAAATGTTTAGAGTACTAGTGCTTGGATATAAGGTATGTTTCAAATTAGCAGGACTTCGGAAATAAGCACTTGTAAGCACTGAAAACACCTGCCTTTTCACACGTATTCATAGTATCTCATGACAAGTGCTGAAAATATAAAATAGCGTTTTGGAGCGTCTAAATTTGAAAATTTTCTGGGGGAGGATCCCCCTACGTGTCAAGGCTCGTGCCTTCGGCACTCGAGTTAATACCCCCCTGTGTGCCCGGTCCCCCTTACAAAAAACCAAGGTACGGCCCCGTATCTATAAGGGAAGTTTCTGTGAAAACGCCTTGAAACCAACGTGGGAATTTTTGCTTTGTATCATTTTCGTTCAAGTTTCCAAAGACTACGCGTGCAAGGCCGGCTGGCCATGAGTTTTCAGCCGGCCATATACGTGTTAAAAACCGTGTGGCTCAGCCTCCTCTAACGCCCAGCCCCACCGAACCTTAACCCCACCGGTCGATCGACCATTTAGTGCCCGGTCCCACGCGTCCACGTCCTTTTTCCGTGCCAACTCATTCAAGATGGCGGGCGGTAAGAAACTTACGAAAGAAGATGAAATTTTACTGCAAAATTTCAGCAGAACCGTCTCCACAAAATCTTCTGCTTTGTTCTATGCTAATGCTTTCTTCGTATCGGCCATCCCCTTGTGTAAGTTTATCTCTTCAACATTTTATTTCAGCGTTGAAATAATCACATGCGTACGATTCTTTGTTCGATCGACTCGTGTTTCTTTGATGTTTTACTGTTTCAGGGCTGTTTTGGAGGATTCACCAGATGGATCCCTACTCCTCTGGGATCATGTTCGTTGTAATGACCTTGATCAGTACGTGGCTTGTAGCGTTTGCGTATAAGAACGTGAAATTTCAACTAAAACACAAGTAAGTGGACTACTACTGTAATTCAATACAAAGCAGAGTTAGTGTAAATATTTGGTAAACCACCTCTGGATGATTACGTTGCTGTAATTTATTGGACGGTTGAGTAGATTTTGTTTCATTAGTGACCTAGTTGATTTCATCAATTTAGCTGATACTTTTTTAAGGGTTTATTTCCTTTTTTTGGTGCGAAATAAGTTAGTAAGTCTTTCAAAGTTAAATGCTCTTTTAACAAAAAAAGAGAAAAGCTCTTTAAATATGAACGTGTACGTTAGTTCCTGTTGCTCTTACTTATGGATAGCAAGTCAAAGGCTATAAGATGTGAGTTGTTTTTATTTCATACATTGGTTCTTCTCCTTGTTCATTTGCTTATTCCCAATGTTCTCCAGAATTTTTGAAGAACAAGGAAAAATTTAAGTAGGTGGCAATTGATATTACAGTGGAGCGTCGATATAACAAAGAGCAAAGGGAATGGCAAAATTTGTTCCCAATAATGAGTATGTGCCATGATTGGCCAGTTCAAAATGATGAGTCCGTTAGGGGCCCCAAATAAGGATGTTGGTGCTACTTTGCAGACTTTTCTAACCGAGGTTAGATTATGACTATAATGCAGGCTATTCTATGATGACTGGACAATGATTTTAGCCAGTTGCCAGGTCTTCTGATGAATACCATTGACTGTTTGATATAATGTTATTTGAGGATTGCACAGCGTCGGGATGTCTCAGTGACCAAGGAAGTTAGCATGGAGTTAGATTCTAACAAGAAACTGACCCGCCAAGAAAAGGATGAAAGGTTAGGATGGAGATAATTTTTATTTTCTTGGCATTCATGATTACAATGAAGGAATAGCACACTTTGTTTAGAAGACAAACACGATACTTATGTACACTAAGATCTACAGTATTTCCCTTTTTTATAGTGGACAAAAAGACTTGTGCTCAAACACCATGTCCTTTTTGAATTTGTGTTCTTAAGGAGTTGATAAAAGCAAATTCATATGTTCCACTCTCCCTTTAACCAAGCACTGATGTTTATGTAGAACCACTTTCTTTACTTCGGCTGCAAAAGATGGAGAACGTTTTAGCGCACTATTACATTTGGCTCTTGTTTGTTGGCATGGCGACTTGACTCAGTCACACAGGAACTGGCCTCCAGCATCAAGTCTGCTTCTCTTTGCTGCCTTTTTAAAGGCTAGTTTTTACAGTAACAGAGCCAAACTTGGCAAAACACGCTCATGCCAGGCTAAGTTTTGCATTTTGTACTTTGTTCACATTATTTTGATAGTCCGTATTAGTATAGGTAATAGCATGATTAGTGGTGATATTTGGCATAAATACCACGAGTGATATTTCGAAATTGTTATACGTAATTTCACAAGCCGTTAGGCGAGTGAAATTTGTGACAATTTTGAAATATCACGAGTGGTATTTATGCCAAATATCACGTAAAAATCAAGCTATTATTTGTTTATACTACTACCTGCAAAGGTTTTGTAATTTTCACTTGTAGGTATTTCAAATTTAGCTGAAATACCACTGCTCTAAGCCAATCAAATTGCAGAAATTTCTCATGTAGTGGTATAACATACTGAAAAAACTTGCCTAGCTTGATGGTTCTCTTAGAAATTATTCTAAATTAGTAGCCGGCTGTAAAATAAATTTTTAGATCTACTCACTGCGATCAGAAAGGTTACTTGAGTAGATGAAAGCAAAACAGATAGAAAGTGCGTGCAAAGATCGAAGTGAAACTCAGGTTGGTTCCCAGGGTCCTCTCCTCGTTGTCTTGTTTTCATGTTGTCCGCAACAAACATGGTGGCTGTGTTTTTTATCAACAGATTTTTTTTCAATAGACTTTCCTATTATAATTGATGATCGATCTGCTGGATCAATCTGATTATTTCCAATGATTGATGATAAAATCTCAGCTGATTCCCATCACTATCTATTACAATGTCTGGCCAGGGAAGGAAAGTCAGTTTGGGTTAAATGATAAGAAGGTTTGAAAAAAAAGGGGGCTCAAGAAAGAAGCATTTTAACTGTACTGTGTTACTGATGTAAGCTTTTTTGTCTTGTAGGATCCTGTGGAAAAAGAACAAAGTTGCTGAAACAGAGGCCATCTCTTTCTCCATCTTTTATAACAACTCCCTCTACCTGTTTTTGATCCTGATAGCTTCATTTTATGTTCTACGAACATTCAACCCTGCTGCGTATCCTTGAGAGTTTATGTTTATCTTTCAAGTTTTGAAATGTTGGTAATGTTTTAAATGGATCCTTATATTCATGTGCTTACAGCGTTGTGCATTCTGCAAAATTTAAGTTTCTGGTTATGAAGGAAACAATAGCCAATTTTCATGATGATGTCTTTTTACTATTACATGTAAGACCAGAATTTATTTTTTTTTCTTTCATATTTAAAATTGTTAACCCTTGTGAGGTTAAAATAGCAATAGCCCTAATTTACAAAAGAAAGCAAAACCCTGAAGGATTCTGGTAGTAGCAGGAAAAGGACACCATCGTGCAAATGGACTAAATAAGTGGCGCCATCATTAAAGACCCTGTTTTATGATTTGCCCAATCCACTGGCTGACATTTTAAATAACTTCTCGGCTTGTTTGTTGTCATTTTACTGTTTTTATTCTGATCATCATTATCATGGTCATCATGGTCATCATTGTCGTCTTCGTCATCTTCGTCATCATCATTATTGTAATGTTTATTCATTTATTGAACATGCATGGCATTTCCTTAACATAGTTGTAGAAACTATCTCCTCTCCACTGCTCTCGCTGGTGGAGTGCTAGCTCTGTTGTCTACAGGTTCATCTGCATGAGATATGACACATCAGCAGTCTACAAAGGATCAAAATGGCTTTGCTGTCTTTTCATTTGTCCATTTTAATAAATGATAAATTCAAACTATTTTATTGCGTGTTTTAATCTTTTTTATCCCTCATAGTGGTCCCACCACAGAGTCCATCTTGGAGAGCCTGGTACCAGGCTTCTTGATAGGGAGAATGGGGGAAAAATCCCCAATTCTTAGCACCCTTCCCCCAAAATGGCGGGCTTTTTTACAGTCTAAGTTGATACAAGTGGAATCATGTCTGTTTAGTGTTCAACCAAGGAATATTCAAATTTGTGTCAAACAAACCTGTGCAGAGAAATCACTTAACAAAGATCAGAGCTGGAAATAACAGTCGGTCATTTAACAATGTCAGACCAAAATTTTCACTGTGTCCTACAAAACCTACCTACAGGCAGATGTAATGACCAAACAGTTTAATCATGCTGACATGAACAAACAGTGTGAATGTCAAGGACAATCATTTTGAAACTGAGAAGTTCTCCATTATAGTAGTAAAAATTAATAGGTTTTTCCAACTGACATGCTTGCCTGTGATGGCATGTGCCCTTTATGAAAAAAAATATTATCTGGATACCTGAAATTCTCTGTCATCTTTATGAAGAAGTTAGTGTCAGCTGAGAGTGCCCACTTTTGGGAAAAAATTTCTAGCGTTATTACTTTTTCAAATATAATTTATAATATAATGTTAACGCCCAGGGCTAGTTGTTTTGAAGAGAAAGATCTCTTATTATAGATCGATATGTAAAAAACCGACAAGCAAAGTATACTTTTTGCTGCCTTTCTTAACTGCAATCTATCCGAACAATCCCGAGAGCCTCTGATAGCATACATGGTATTGGGTAATTGGCTTAAACAAATGTGTTGTTGAAAATGAAATTGTACACAACATAGCTGTAATCTTCATTGTCACTTGTAATCATTTCAAAAATAATTTTACTTTCATAAAAAAACTGTGATCACAGAGTTTTGGTGCATGCTGGATAAAAAGTGAAATAAAATGCTGCTCTGTATTTGGGGCCAAAAAAGTAATGAATTTATTTCAAGAAATTAACTTTGCAACGTTGTGGTCCTAGGAACTTGCATGATGGACACCAGTTACCTAGTTTGCCAGCAAACTAATTTCTAGTTTTGCATTAAAAATAATGTAGATAAGTTATTTTCAAAATTCAGAAGGACTCAGAAGAGAGACAAGAGGAGAAAAGTGCTTTGTGGTGAGATAGAGTGGCGGGAGGTGGGGGGGGGGGTGGGGGTTTCTGAGGTAGAGAGTTACCTCCCAGAACTATTTTGAGGCACTAAATGTTTTCTGCTTGACAAAAAGAGAGCTTTTAAGGCACTTGAAATGATGCACTCCTCTTTTCCCCTCACTACAAGATATATATGAAAGAAGATGCAAAATTGTGGATTGGTGGCATAAATTATGCATCTGTTGTTTACTGAAGTTAGGGGGGATTGCTAAAGGAGTGGTTTTTACTGAAAAGCAAGATTCTGCCAATCAAAGATTCATTTAGCCAATCATAGAGAAGGAGCATATTATGGGCTATCTTTTGTTTGCAGCCCTATGCCAACTCCTTAAAAACCATAGTTGAGGAGAATAAACAATTTGATCAACCTCTTTCTTTACCTTACTGTTTTTCATTATTTGCTTACTGGTTTTAATGAGAATTATCTTTTTTATATTTCAAAGTGCATAACCTTTTACAAAAAAAGTGCGGGTGTTTTTTCACTTTTTAAAAGTTTTTTGCCTGAGAAAATCATGTTTTTTGGACGTGGGTAACGTAAGTTCTCTTCAAAAGGGAAACCCTTTTGTCACGTGAAGATATGTTAAGAGAAAACAAAAGTATATCATTTTCTCTGATATGCTAGAAGAATAATTCTTATATTTCTCCTCTAATAACTATTAACATTAAGTCAAAATTATTTTTTTTGCTAACTTTAGTGTTTTCTCCGACCAAAAGCTAAAACCATTGCTATGAAGATGGCGCTAAAGCTGTTCTCTCAATTTATGAGTTGATAAGCTATCTATTTTCTCCCTAGTTTCCCGTCCGATCCTGCCGGCGACAAAGACAGCTGCGCAAGTCGTACTCGCCATCTTCGGAAACCGAGAACTTCCATTTTTCGTTCAATGTTTAGTTCCCATTTACAACCGTGATAAAGTGAAATTTATCTTCAACAGCTATGAGTAAAAATGTCCTCCAGCAGTAGTAGAAAAAAGGAGCTAACATCGTCCGCCGACAGCTTAAACGGTAAGACCGCTAGACGGTACCATCATATTTGCATGTGATAAACTTACTGCTCAAGGGAATGGTTTGTGGTTAAAATTTTTTTGTTAAATTTTCAAGCGCAATTTAAAAGCATGGATTCATAAGCAGCATTTTACAGCCTTGATTTATCAGCAAGTGCTTTGAATTTAAGCGAGAAATGAATTTGTAGCGTGATGTTTGTGTTCAAAGAATTCGCGCGTTCATATGTGAGTTGAATTGCATGACACATGCTATATGCCAGTATATGACGTGTATGGCCGCTTTTTTATACTCTCTCTTTGGTTAACTGTGATATTATTTCACTCAGAGGATCTCTTTTTGCGTAACTGTTGTCGATAAACCTTATTTGTTCTTGTTGGCAAGGAATTTTTCGTCTTTATATGTTGAATTTAAAAGTTCCCGCTGCTCGCGCCGGTCTCGCCGCGCAATAAACCGTGCGGGATTTGGGAAAGAATCGAAAAATCGAGGGAGATTTCTTTATTTTTTTTTCTCCAAATAACCCATACACATATAGAAAGAAATCATGTCTTAATGTTTTGAGTATAACTAATAAGCCCTGGTTGTTTTTATGGAAATTCCCCTCGGAAAAAAGGATCTGTATTGTAACTTTACAAGCTTTCATTTTATTATAAAAATTTCACTTCACTTTGACAATCCATCGTTAAAAAGATATCAGTTCATTTTAGCCTTAAAATCACAGTAGAAAAATACAAGTTAAGAAATATAGAAAAATATATATTTTGATGCTAGTGACAGGAAATATTTTACAATGCTTTGTTAAAGGAGAAATGAAACCAAACATTTTTGACTAGTTAAATCATCTTCAGGGTGGTTTTACCAATTGTATTGTGGTAGTCTTTACACTATAACCTAAATAAGCTAAGAAATATTTCAAGACAAGTAAATTTTAAATTCTTAAAGTAAAAGAAAGTTTCACACACAACCTATCTTTTTTACTTCAGGTTAACTTAGGGCTATTTTCCCACTCAACATAATTAGGATTTAAGATTGCTTGACATGCTTCACCTTTCTCAAAGCTCAAGAAACCACAAGTTTGCAAAGTCGGTTTTAAGGATGGTTGTCAAGTCAACTTTTCTTGAATCGTTTCAACTTTCCGACTTTTAATGAGATGCAAAGTAAAATAACATGAGATTTTCCTTAGGCTTTAACACACGTAGCCGGAGAAAACAGCCAACATTTGGTGACGCTACCACTGGTGTCCCCGTGAAATGATGTCTGCGAAACGAGTGCAGAAATTCCATACTGATGACGCGTCACCACCCAAATCTGGGTAGTGCTCCTGATTTGTCGTGCCATGTGGGAAATTTGATTCAACCAATCAGAGGCACTACCCGGATCTGGGTAGTGACGCGTCATTGGTATGGAATTTCTTTGCTTGTTTCTCAGACGTCATTTGGCGTGGAAACCAGTGGTAGCGTTGCAAATGTTGGCTGCTTTTTCAGGCTATCACACACGTATCTTTGGTTAAGTAAAACTTAGCTGATAGCAGCTGTTAAGTTTTTCTTAACAGCCTAGTGTAAAGACTACCAGTATTCTTCTTATTACCACACCCTCTTCCAAAATCACTTCCTAATACATTGTACTTGTCAAATTCTCCTTTCTTATTCCATACAGTTAAACTTGCATTATTATACAAACCTGTATAAGCCAGTCGCCCCCTATTACATGTAGGTGGTCACTCACCAAAGTCCTGAAAATTATTTCTCTTTACTGTAAAACTAACCTGTATTAAGCAGTCACCTCCATTGCAGGGTGTAATTAAGAAGTTGTGGCCACCTTGTCTGGGGTCCCAAGAGGTTATTTTTCATTGTCTTCACCGCTATTGAATGTTCAATACACTAATAACACACTTGCATGGCATTTATTGGTCATTTACTGATATTATAAGGAGAAATTTGGCAGTTATGGCTATTGGGGCTTGAAGGGTTAACAAGGGGATCACTTAATTAAGCTGAGGACTGTAAGAAATAACTAGAAGGAACCTGATGAATGGAGGCCACAACAGCATAACAAAGATTAGTATTTCAGTAATTAAAGGTAACAATTTCCAGGACTTTGCTTGGCAAGACTTGATTGTGTAGTGAAGGGTGAGTACTTAATACAGACCTGTTCATTCAAAATTCTAAATAAAAGTTTTTAAGCAAAATAGGCCTGATAGTTTTTTCACATATAAGTTATTTTGGCATTCACAAAAATTGTTTTTGGTTTTAAATTTTTCCAAGTAGATGGTGATATTGAGAAACCATCGGCTAAGAAACGGAGGACAGAGGACTCTGGATCTGTGAAAAACACCCAGAATGGAAAGAAGCGGAAACGAGATGAAGAGAGTGACGTAAGTCCTTTTTATCATTTGCTCTCTGTTGATGCCTTGACAGGTTAAAATTTGGACAAGCAGCATGGCTTTGAAACAGTGATATGAGAGAAGTTCAATGAAATGATGAATATGAATTTCATATCTCCTAGCCTGGGTTACAGGAGCTGAGGGGAGGGTGAGGGAGGGAAAAAGTGAGAGAGGACTGGGGTGAAAAGGAAAGGGATGCCTGCTGTAAAAACCGGCTTTTGTTCATTTATTGCGGCTGCTGGTGTCGGCAAACTTCTGATTGGCTTTGTGGCAATGAGTAACTTATTGACATGTATTAAGTGATAAAGGGTCACCATGCAGGCATCAAAATGTGTTCTACTGGCATAAGCTTATCAAGATCAAAATTACACTAATCAAGTGGTAACTTCTCATTGAAACTGGAAATAGAACCAGCCATAATAGCTTGGTCAGCAGGCAGAAATACTATTGAGGTTTTTTATACTGCATTTTTCCAAGCATCAAGCGGTGATTCTTGTCAAGTGTGATCCATTTTGCAATACCGATTCTCGTGAGAGCACCGATGATAAGTATTTAGAGAATTTTAGATGCTGGGTAAGCGGCTTTTCAGTAAAATCATATACTGCCATAAATGAACTTTTACACTCCATTTTTATACTCCATATGGTTTTTGGAGAGAGAGGTGATGCTTTGGTGAAAACTATCCATTGATTGTTTTGACTGCTAGCTGGAATAGTTTTGTCTTGAGGCAAGACCGTAAGTTTTGTTTATTCACATGGAGCAAATCAATGTTCAAAACTGTTCTGTTTTGATAAAATATTATTGTTGTAAAAAAGCGTCGCTACATGATAATTTCTGGTTTAAGTTTTGCCCATGCTGAAAATCACCCCTGCTAGTGGTTGGTCATGTATTTACAGTTAGCATTATCAGATTACTCAGGGAATTGGTGGGTGTTTTCTCCCTCTCTCTTTTCCCTTTTGGGCTTTTCTCCCCCTCCCCTCTCATCCCCTTTTTTGTGCCTGCCATGCAAGCTAATTTTCCAGACTTTCTTACATACATACATACTTTATTGTTACCTCCCCAAAAGGGCTTTTCAGGAACAATGATTATATTACATTATTTATAATAACTAATTACAACACTTAATCTAATTCTACTTACAATGTTAGCTAATTACTAATTACAATGTTTTAAAATTAACTAAGAAGTATTTACAAAATTTCTTTGTGCAACTGCTTAAGTTGTGTCTTGAACTGTGATGATCTTCTCTGCATTTACAAATCAATTGGTGACAAAAAAACCTAAAGATGGGTTGAATCAGTGACAGCAATAAGAAGAATTAATTTGCAAAAACAATAGTATAATACAGACTGGCACATGGCTTCCTCCTCAATTTGCAAAACAACAGCAACAACTTTATTTAGTATTCCCATGTAAGTACATGGTATTACCTAGACTGTACATTATTTATGTTATAAGTCTTAAATCAAAATAAAGGCTATAATTAAAGAACAAGTTTTTGTCTATATTCCATACATGAATGTATGTAAGCAGCTGTAAGTCTGTAGATGTAAGGATCAGCATTTTTAAATATGAAGAGGGTTTTTTCATTGTTGACAAAATGATTAAAAAGGGGGTATCTATTATTAATGTTTTTGTAAAAGTTAGATCAAAGACTATCGTAAAGATTACAATTGAATAGGAAATGTAATTTGTGTTCAACTTCATTGAAGTGGCAGAAGGGGCAAATTCGAAGATTTTCTGGAATTTTTGGTTTGGTACAGACTGTATGTCTGCCTGTTTTAATTTGTAAGCGATAGTTGCCAAGTCTGAATTTATGTAATCATTATGTGTTTCTGGGAACAACAACAGGTTTTGAAGTTCAAACTAGGGACATACTGTGTACCTTATTTAATCGATTAACCGCTGTGGGCGCTTATTAAATTTTTGGACCTTGATAGTAGACGCTTATTTGAGGTGGGTGCTTATTGGAGGGTGGGTGCTTATTAAATTTTCACCATTTTCAGCAAGTTTAGTATGTTTATTTTGCAACAAACAATAAATGGTAATAACAAAATGTGAAGATGTAACAAAGAAAGGTTTCTGTAAAATACTCTGAAGAAAATTCCGTCTTCGCGGAAGTCTCTTATTAGTACTTATTCAATTTCAATGAGTAGGAGGGGGATGGGGGTGGGCGCTTATTCGAGGCTGGGTACTTATTAACTTTTTCTGCCTTTACGATGGGCGCTTATTCGAGGTGGGCGCTTATTTGAGGTTGGGCGCTTATTTGAATAAACACGGTACCTAACCTTGCTAACAGGCCCTCCTTTTTTCTCTCTGGGTGTTTGAAAGAAAAAGTTTAATTCTCTTATCATTTCTATTTCTTAGGATGAGATTTCAGTCATAGAAGATGAGCAGGGTTCCAAAAGGCAAAATGTGGCTTCTGAGAAAGACTCTCCTGTTGGAGTCGCACAGGCTGATGATGAGAGCAACAAGGATGTAAGCAAACTGTTGTCGTTAGATGCATATATTTGAGATATATGTATGTGTAGTCACCCAGCTTTATGATGGCCAAGAACTGCCTATTAAAAATCCAGATTTTTCAGGGACTATTTTTCTTGTTTGATTACTTTTCACTTGTGTTCTGTAGTTATTTCTCTGTCTTTCCAGTCTACTCTTATTTTCTTAAATCAAAATAAATTCTTAAATGAAACCCAAGTAAAATCAGATCACCCAAATCAAAATCCAATTTTTAACCCAGATGAGTGCTACTACTACCTGCATTCCTTTTATATATCAGTCTAACAGCAATTATTTATGTTTAAAATGCTCATTCACCCCTTCAATAATGTTTATTTGTGTAATTGAATGACTACTGTGCTTTTTTAAGGATGAACCATCGAAGGCTGAGTCAGTAGCAGTGGAGCTTCGTTTGAAAAATATTGAGGTGAAGCTTTCTGAAGAGAATGAACAAGGACTTACTTACTTGAAGTTTACCAAACTTGTCCGTCACCTGATCGTGGAGGCCAACCCATCAGCAGCTCACACAAAAATTAATGCACTTCTAGGAGCACTGTGGAGTGACTACAAGAAAAAGAAAGGTACAGGTGCTGTTACACCTAATGTTCCAAGTCCAAAAAGCTCGGGTGGCAAAGCAAAGAAGCAAAAGAACCCAGCCAAAGCTTCCAAGTCTACAAAATCACAGGTTGGTGTAGGTACATTGCACTTTGTATGCAGTAAAAAAGGATAGCTATGTAGATCGTCACAATAAGTTGTAAATATTTGGACAAAATCCTATGATTTTATCATTCAAATGAAAACCTTTTGGCAGAACGTTTGCATGGTATTTGTTTAGCAACTATTAGTGTTGAAAAGGGTAAGGATCTTTTGATAATCAAAAATGTAACCTCTTCATAGTAGAAAAATATGTCTGTTTACCACTAGAAACTGAACAGCTGCTGGAAGTGAGTTGTATTTTTTTGTTTCTTTGTTTTCACTCTAGAAAGAGGTTGTTGAGGTTGTGTCGGATGTTGACGAATCTGAGCCAGAGTCAGTTGTTGAGGCTATTGATAATGAAGATGATGAGGATGATGATGATGCTAGTGAGCCACAGCCTGATAATTCTAAATCCAGACCTAAAATTAAGCTGCTGTTTAAACCAAAGAAGGGTACTAAAGGTCAGTTAAATAACATAAATCTTGTTTTTCAATTTTGTAACTATTTAAAGTGGAACCCACTATAATGAAGTACCAAGGGTTTGCAAAATCGTTTAATGTAATTTGGAGAGGTTTAGAATCACATTTATGGCAAATGGCAAACAGCAATAATTCAACCATGTGACCAAGTTTTTCCGCTACTTTTTGTTTACATTTTCTTATATATATACACACATGAGTAAGCCTCATGTCATGTTTATCCATGAGACTGGCTGTTTAATTCCTTATTTGAGAAATAGTCAACTTTAATCTGGCATTTTCTGTTTGCCATAAATGTAATTCTAAATCTGTGCAATATATTGTGATGTTATTTAAAATGCCTTGTTCATTCATAGTAACTCTGGCAGTAGTGTCCATTCAGTATGAAGATATGTGCTAAGTAAAGGTTTATTACCTTGTGGTTTGACTGTGTTCAAGTCATTTCATATTATTCAACTTGAAGAAATATTATTTTTATCTTATGAAAGGTGAAAACTTTAAGAAAATAATATTATTATAAACAGCATGTATATGTTGTGGTTTAAATTTTTCCTTGGTTTAAAATTTTTCAAAGCTGTTTAATTTTTGTTTTTCTTTTGTCTCTGATTATGGTAATTGATTTTAGACAAAGGAAAGTAAAATTAAACTGGTGAAAAAATTTTAAACCGAGGAAAAAAATTTGAACCACAAATATATATAACAACTCTTTTTTTTTTTGGTGAAACAAATGATTAATTTTTAAAATCTGCTCTAATTTGTTTTTGTTTTTCCCAAGGTGACAGAAAATCTAAAATTGTAGATGATGACAGTGATCGAAGTGAAGCTAGCTCAGGAAGTAGGTCAAAGAAGAGTAATGGTAGAGCTAGCACTTAAAGTAAGGGAAGCAAAAAGAAAGCTGTTGAAATAGCTGATGAAGATAGTGATGCAAGCCAGGCCAGTGGAAAAAGCACCAAGAAGAAGCCAGCCAAAAATACTGGGAAGACAAAGAAGGAAAGGACTGTTGTCAAAAAGAAGAAGAAAGAAAGAAAGAAAAGTACAGGTGAGAGATGTGAGTCTTTGTTGCAATTGTGATTCGAGGTTTGTGATTTCAGTAGATTTCCTTTTCCAGTAAAAAGATGTTTGTGATCAGCCAAAAAAGCCAATCCTGATAAGTACAAATGTACATATATCTACAAAAGAATTTTAATGACACCAAAATCGAATTTAACTACTTTTTTCAATAATGTTAAAATGTTGCAAATTGAAAAATATGGAAAATTAAAAATTAACAAGCTTTTGAAGCACTTAAAAAGTCAAGTGGTGTATGCGCTTAAACCACTAAGTGGTTTAAGTGGACACACCACTGTCTTGATGTCTGTTGATGTCACAGGACCCCAGTGCTCTTGAAATTGTGAAGTCTGGGGTGTCCAGCATATGCTTTTTATGGAAAAAAACCAAGATTCCCTATTTACCCAGGAGGAAAAATAGGGCGCTAGGCAGGGGCCATTGGGTGATTCTAGAGCACTTCCTTTTTCTATAACTCATGATCCTCCAGGAATTGTGGCTCCAACTTTCTACTAGTCCAAAAGCATTTTGTACTAGTGAAGCTGTGGACTATTGCTAAGGTTGAGAACTCTTTAGGTGGATTTTTTTATTTTAATTATTCATTTATCAGTGTGATGAATCTAACATGTTGGTTTTACATTGGTTTGTAGGAAATGATGAAGATAATGTCATGGGTGTGGTAAGTCATGATCACTTGGCAAACTATTAAGTATACTTCAGTCTTTATTAGGAAGCTTAACACGGTGTAGACAGCAGTGAACATTTCACTTTTAAATGAATTTTTGTTCTTTCAAACTCTATTGGTTTCATTTATTTAGCCTCTCTCATTTTGTCAAATGTGTATTTATCTTCAAAAAGAAAAAGAAACAATATTATTGTTGTCATGTGTTCCCATCCTCTATTAAATGTCTCATTAGGAAGTTTTGCACTGTTATTGTGCAGTGGACGTCAAGGAAATAACTAGCCTGCGTAGCTGGCGGTATTGTGTGGGTGCAAGATTCAAGTTTTGGCGGCAGAGCCGTGTTCCAAAAAAAGGGAGCAGGGACGAGGCGGTTGAAATACCACCTGCCAGAAAACCCCGGTATTTTGAATAGTCCGCACACTAGTGTGCGGAGAAACGGATTGGTCGAGGGCCATACATATGTCAATCATGTTAGATGATCCTTCGCATATATTTCCCAATTAAGGGAGCAGATGGCAAACTGGAAAAGACGTAAGTGATTGTGGCTTCCCCTTTAAAAAGAGCATAATTGATGACCAAATTGCCGAAATGGCGGGTTTAAACTTCACAGCGCTGGAATTGTCTTTATTTGGCCGTAACAAGAACACCTACAGAAGAATAAACCACAGGAAATGGTTACTCCATATGCATGTAACAAACCAGCTTCATGACCTTTTAATGTTAAGCCTAGCTTGGCAAAAAAAGATTTACTCAGTCAAAGTTTAGGATGATACATCCACTGTGTAGTGCTAGTAACCTTCGCGTGAGAGCCGAGAAAATAAAAAAGCTTCTGTTCAAGCAAACTCACGAGGTCACGTTTCACATTATCACGAGCTTAGGAGTCGTGTTTAGCCTGTCAGCACTTATTTCTAAACTGTCTTGCGCGAAAATAATCGGCTGATTTAAATGGGATCAGCTAAGGTGACAAAAATGGGCGGCATTCGAAAAATCATGGTTCTCTGGCAGGCGGTATTTCTCATGGCACCGCCGTTCGTGGACGGCTCCACTGTCAAATCTCACTCGACTATATTACAACAGCTCCGCCGCCAAATCTCACTTGACTACTACACAATACCGCCAGCTACGCAGGCTAGGAAATAACCAAAATGCATGATGCACGCACAGAGTAGCCTGTGTACAGACGTCCCCCCTGCCTCAGACAAAATTGGGAGAAGAGACGTCTGTGAATTGCCGACGATAATTGTGTTCCTGTTTCCCTGGAATGTTGGGGACAGCCTCTGATTGGTTATAATGTTAATTATGCCATGATGCAAATAGTTTCCAGTGTTGTGATTGGTGAATGAATCTCAGAATAGATTCCCCGGGGAAAACCTTAGCCTTTGTGGACAGTTTACCGCATTTATATTTGTTTACTTGTATTTCGGCTCTCTGGAATGGGCATGTGAAATTAAGACCACTGATGTTTGCTGCATCAGTTGCGGGTGCATCTGTCTCTGCCGGATGGTATTGTAAAAAAAAAAAGGAAGGATGTACAGAATTCAACTCTTAATCAGAGATCTTATATCTGGATTTTAGCATGGACATTGTGTGAAGCTGTTCGGCTAGCCTGAGTACAGACCCCAGGGCTATTTTTTGGCCTATACTGTACATGTGCTGATCATGATTCGTAGAAAATAAAGGCAAAAGTAACGATCCTTTATGTGGAACCTACTTGAAATCATTGAATGGATCAACTCCTGCATAAAATGCTTGACTGGAGATGGAAACAGTACTTTTGAGATAAAACTTCTTTCAAACCAAAAACCACAGGAAATCGATGCACAGTAACAGACCGACTTTATAAATTATGCTAAAAAAAATTTTAAAAGAAAACTTCAAAAGCATGATATACTAGTTGTGTGACATTTTAGGAAGATATTCTAGTTAGGACCTAGCTGAGCTATAAAGGTTGAGAACATCCGAGAGAATAACTGCGTACATTCTCTTAAAGAGTCCCGAGTCATGTCGTTCTGTCAACACCTTTTCAACTGTCAGATGAAACAACAACAAAATATGATTTATAATGGTAATGTGTACTGGAACGTGATTAATGACAGTTATTCCCAGACGTCTCTTCTCCCGAAGAGGGAGGGGGGTCGTCTGTACGCAGGCTAGCACATAGCTGTTGTTTTATTTTTTTATCACCGCCATGGTCGTCGTGGCTGCTTAAGCTTCCTATTATCCCATTCAAATAAAAGTGTTTCTTGTTTCACGATGGAAGTTTTCTACTGATTGTATGTGTTATTGATGGTAGGATGAGCATCAGGACTACTGTGAAGAATGTGAAGAGGGTGGGGACTTGTTACTGTGTGACACCTGTACACTGTCTTTTCACTTGCGTTGTCTGGATCCCCCACTTGATGAACCTCCTCAGGGAAGATGGAGTTGTCCTGTCTGTGTAAGTTTTTCTTTACTTTTAAGAGGAATCCAGTGTCTGTGGTAGAGCCAAGGAATTTATATTAAGAAGTTTCTTTGTTGTAAAAGTTTTGAGTTGTTCAACTTGAGTAGCATGAACGAGGCTTCTGTTCAGTTGGAAGCAATGTGCAGAGTAAACTATTTTATAACCAATCTAGTAAACTGAGGAACAGCGCTTGGTAAATTCCACTTAGATAGGAGTAGGGTCTGCTGAGGGGATCTGTGCCCCTCTACTTTGTTTTTACCAACGAAGCATGATGCCTCCAGACTTATCCTTAAAAATGGCATGCCGCTAAAACCTCCCCCACACACACCCCAGACAGAGGTATATATATACAAAGTAGAATCCCGGTAACTAGAACTCTAAAGGGAACTAAAAACAGTTCAAGTTAGCAAGGGTTTGAGCTAACGGGGTCGATTTCAAAATTCAATTTTCCACATTAAAAATTGATAATTACTGATTTTTCAGCAGGTCAGATTTTGTCAGAAAAGGTCACATGATTAGGCATCATTTCATGGCGTTTATGATAAAATGTTTTCTGTCCTTTGCACCAATTAAAATCAAGTTGATGTTGTATTGACCAGTGCTAGTTTTAGTGTTTTTACTGATAATACTAAAAGAAGAGTTAATGGGATGGCATCCGAGTGGAGTTAGAAGAGCCAGAATTCGAGTTATTGAGGTAAATTTCAGTGAATTTTTGATCAAGGGAAATGGAATTTAGTTTGAGGTAGCAGGGAATTCGAGTTATATGAGTGCAAGTTAACCAAGTAAGGAAAACTGAAAAGTGGGGTGAAAACCAAAAAAAATGGACTTAGTTTGAGTTAGTGGGAAGTTCGAGTTCTCCGAGTTCAAGTACAATGTATACTGTACAATGTATACATATCAGCATATTTAAGAATTATTCCTCAAGCCCAAATGGGCTCTGTAGTGACTCAGAGGCCACTAGGGTAGCCTGTGAACAGGCTCTCTGTCTGGGGAAAAAAATAGCAAGGAAAGGGAAGGGAAGGGGGGAGAGAGCCTGTAGACACACGTTTGAGGCCGCTATTCCGCCCTCTTGTAATTATCTTGCCGAACATCTGTCAGCAAGATCGTTATCTGTCAATCAATTTCGCGCGTGAGTAACTCCTGGGAAAATTAAAGGGAAAAAAACCGTGTTTTGCTTCGTCTCAAAACAAAGTGAAATGGACCGCGAGCCTAATTGTCGATTTTGAAAAAAATCGTTGATCTCCGGTAAGAGAATTAATACGGTGCCGGTCGTTGGCGTTTCAAGAAATAAGACCTTGCTGGTTGACAGTGGCCAAGACAGCGTTGTACTAGTGCAAGCATTTGATTGCTCAAGATTTCCTCTTGTGCAAGGAGAAAGCTTTTCGATTTAAGCTGCTTAACTTGTGCTCATCGCTACCGTTCGTCTTGCTAGTTCAGTTTCTAATTCAACAAGCCCCTGCAATGAGCGAACTTGGAATGCGAAAGGTACAGATACTATCATGACTTCTCCAGAACGTGAACCTCCAAAGACAAGTACAAAGAAATCAACAGCGCCTCGATCGCCGACAGGAATTACACCTTTGGGTATTTATCCCGCATTTATAGCAATAAAAGAGGGCGGTAGGCCTACATGGCGTTTACCTCACGCCAAAATGCTGCCTGTTCCCATAAGTTTTTTCCTCTGCTCGGTAGATTATGCTCTGGAAGGTTCTACATTTTCACTGAGCAAATATGGTTTTAGCCGCTGGTTTCACACTGAGAGGTCATAGCATACATATCGATTTACTGTGGTTTTTGTCTCTGGTCGGCAGGATTTGCCCTCTCTGATGCAAGAGCATTTTCTTTGACCTCTTTTGAAGCGTAAAGCTTTTTATTGCGGCTGAATAAGGGTCGTACTTTTCTCCAAAGTGCCCTCTGGATCTGAATAACTAAGCGATTTTCTTTAGTCCGTAAATGTAATGTTTTTCTGAAATGTTGTATCACGCTGGGCCCAGGTCGTTAGTTTTCTTTGCAGAATGTTTAAAATGATCACGGATAGTAATTTACAGATCCAAAGTTATAAGATTCAAGTGCAGCTTAAACCGAAGCTACATCAACTATGGAGAATTGCATTTTGACTCGGTAAACTCCAGCCTAGTGTTTTTCTATCCATTAGATAGTACTGAGTCTTTTGACTGCAGCGCGTAGTTCCTCCCTTGGTAATAGCTTTTGAACAAGCTTAACAGTCTTTGGAGTGTTTTGTTATTTCCAAACGCGTGTTACGTGCCGACCGAAAAGCCGATGTCAATCAGACCTTTCAACAGTCAGTGTTCTCGCCAATAAGAACTTGCATCAGGATCTGATGCACAGCGGGTGCCGTGGAACGGCGGTCCCAAAGGCTTGTCCACAGGCCTTTTCGCTTTTCCCTCTCCCTAATTCCCCGCTCGACCAAAGGCCTGTTCACAGGCTACCACGAGGGCAAGAGGAATATTATTGTTTTAGTAAAATCCAACTAGTTGGTCAAAACAAAACAACTTTAGCTAGAAAAACGCGATTCAGCCACCATTGTTTTGGTTTTCAAAGCCAGTGCTTTTCTCTAATAGTCTGCTATAACATATAGCCTAGTAGTAGCTCAAACAATCAGAACGCAGCATTGATAATAGGCCACTAGTGGGATTTTACTAAATACACATACCGTATTTATTTGATTAACTGCCCTGGGCACTTGTTAAATTTTTGGATCCTGAGGGTGGACGCTAATTCGAGGTGGGCGCTTATTCGAGGCTGGGCGCTTATTAAAATTTCACCATTTCCAGCAAGTGCAGTATGTTTATTTTGCAATAAATGGTAATAACAAAACGCGAAGATGTAACAAAGCAAGGTTCCTGTAAACTACTCTGAAGAAAACTCTGTCTTCGGGGACGTCTCTCACACTGTATTAGTACTTATTCAATTTTGGGTTTGGGGGGTGGGAGCAGGAAGGGTGATTAGGGTGGGGGTAGTTTGAGTTTGAGTGGGAGGGGAGGGGGGGGGGGTGGGGTGTGGGTGCTTATTAACTTTTTCTGCCTTTAGGATGAGCGCTAATTCGAGGTTGGGCGCTTATTTGAGTAAATATGGTATATATATTATATGAACATGACAGAGAATTGCATGGGTAGGAAAGAGCAAGAACAAAACCTGAACTATGTAGGATGTTGTTGATGTAGGTTTTAGACATCATGAAACTTGGTTTTCTCAATTTTGCACATTTTTTTTTGTCTGGTATCCAGTCCTTTTTAGTCTGTTCTATTCAGCTTTTTATTCAGTTGAATGGAGAGTCAAAGCGGTAACATCTGCACTTAACTGTGCCTGTATGTTAGGTTATCTTGTTCCATTATCCAGGAAGATGAAATGACAAGTGACTCCAGTGAAGACATGCATAGTGATTACTGCAGAGTGTGTAAAGATGGTGGCCAGTTATTATGTTGTGATAGTTGTCCATCTGCCTATCATTTGCACTGCCTCATTCCACCAATGAAAAAGATTCCTGGAGGAGACTGGAGATGTCCACGATGCAAGGTAGTTATTTTGATTAAAGGTATTATATATGCACATAGTGGTTGGTACATTTTCCCCTTGTTCAATTTATTTTTCTTTGTTTTAAACAAAGTAAAATTGCCCCACAAATTACATAACTTGGCTCTATTCTTGGGTATGAAGCTGCATACTAGTGTAGATTTTGAGTGGCAACTCTGTGTGGTCTTTATAAGCCTTGTGTTCCTGTGCATGTTTTATTTAACTCTTTCACTCCTAAACCATGTTATCGCAAGATTGTTTCATGCTTTTTTGTTTATTTTTTTTTTCCACTCTTACATTTAAATTTGTGAAAGAAATCCCATATTGTTACCATTGAAATTAAATGTCCTCTTTGGTGAGGGTTGTCCAATCCACACTAATTACTAGAATCTACTGGAAACACAAATAGATTTCAACAGACTCCCTTATTTCTACTCGTAGAAGATGTAAAAACATTTTAATCATGACTTGTGTAGTGTACTTACCTCAAGTCATGGCTTAATGAATAAGGTGTAAATACATGTGTAGGGTTCTTGTCTCAGGTCATGGCTTAAAGAACAAGATATTTCACTTCAAGTAGACTTTCAGTGATTCAAGGAATTGGGCACAACTATTGCACAGTACTATTTATTTTAGGGGACTTACCAAAAATAAATTTTTTTGAGGGGGAAGGATATTTTTGGCTACTTTTTAAAAGGGTTAATCTTGTTATGTATAGTACGTTTTTTATTACACTTCCATTGTTTGCTCTCAGAGTGAGCCATTGAAAGGCAAAGTTGAGAGAATTCTTCACTGGAGATATGTTAACCTACCAATTGAAGGTAAGTATTCCATTTTTGACATTGTCTTTGTAAAGAGTTGCTAGTAGCTCATGTTTCTACCATATTATTTCTTGTCTACTGAGAATTTAATGTGCGACAAATGCAGACTGCACAGACTTACAGAACTGGCAGATTCAAGTCTTGTTATATTTATATGAAAATGGGACAGTTTCATGAGCATTTCACAATGTGGTTAACTTGCCAATCTGCAGTCTGCAATTGTTTCACACTGCTCAGTAATGCACTAGGTGCAGTTTTGCTGCTTCATTAGAGGACCTCACAATTTGCTGAGTATGAGTACTACAACTTTTGTCTAATATATACATCTCGAATGTATTCTTCAATAATCAGCTCTATCTATAGGCCAGCAGAATAAAGGAACCAGATCCAGATTTCTGGATACATTGCTGGCTTTAAAGTTCAAAATTTTTACTAAAGCTTAATGCCTTAATGTTCAGTAATACTTCTGCTTAAACCCATTCCCAAAGACCGCGGGGTAGCTGTTCAAAGAGAATACTCATGCATGGTAGCATTACAGGCAATTTTTAAGAACACTATTTCAGCTCTTAGCTGGCACCCACTCTACCACACCAATACTAGAAATGTCATCAGAGGTACAATCAGCTCTCACTAACACTGTTACAACTCTGTAGAAAACAGGTGTCTGCCTTAAATATATAGAGTGAACGAAAAGAGCTAAAGAATGACAGGGAGTAACTCAGGGTGTCTGTTTTAGAGAGATGTTCATCTTGTAAGTGGTTTTGGGTAAGAGAGTGGACAAAAGTAAATCCAAATTTTTCTGCAACCAGTTTTGCAAGACTGAGGGTGCAGATCCCTATGTAACTTACAACAGTTTCAGTGATAAAGTATTCTGCCTTAATTTGCTCCGAGTCCATGGGTTTCCAAGTATGAGTGATATGTAAGGTACATGTGGGTAAATCTCATACTGATACATTTATAACATTGTTTTTGCAGATGCTATGCTCAAGTCTGGTGATACTGGAGAGCTGACTGAACCAGAGGTATGCCGCCTTGTGGCAGTTACCTTGTTAACTTCAGTTCAGTTAATCTGTTTAATTTTAGGATCAAGTTTTAAATAAGAAGATCCACAAGCCATACTGTTTATTCAGTCTTGAGAGTCTGTATGGACTCGCTGTGCATGTAGCTAACAGAAGAATTTATTTTGCAGACTTATGAAACTCGAGAGTTTTTTGTCAAGTGGTTGGATATGTCATACTGGCATTGCTCATGGATCACAGAACTCCAGGTTGGTCTCTGCATTTACTGTATGTTCTGTTGAATGAGAGGATGTGTAGTTTTACAGGGGCGGATGTAGGAGGAGGGTGCAGGGGGCTCCCCCCTCCACCCAAGATGAACTGTGTGTTTCTAATTAGCACTGTGAAGTTTGCTTCACAGTTATATAAAATCCGCTGTATCCATGGTCTGCACGGGCCTTGAAAAGTCCTTGAAAAAACATCATGTCCTTGAAAGTCCTTGAAAATTGAAAAATAGTGGGATATCCTTGAAAAGTCCTTGAATTTTCCACAGCAGTCGTTGGATATTATTGAAAGCTCCTTGAATAAAAATGACCTTCATTAAAGAAAAAAAATAGTGTTTTGTGCAAAGGAATGATTAAAGCACAGCATTACACAAATTTTCTTGGTGGTCATGCAAGTGTTTTCTTATGTTTTCAGTGTTCCAAGCATAGTTCATTTTCCATTATTTGAAGTAGCCTACGAACTGTATTGCAATAAGCCAACACCCCTCCACCTACGCATTGTAAAGGTCTTTAATCATGTTATTGGGGTAAAGAAGTCCTTGAAAAAATGATTTTAGTCCTTGAAAAGTCCTTGATTTTTCCCAAATAATTCTGTATGAACCATGTATATTGTTTTATATGTATTCGCAGCAGTTCACATTATGTTACTGCCTAGTCAAAAGCCTTCTTCTTCATATTCGCTTTTAAAATTTGTTTACATCACCGAACAGTTATACCATTCCATAGTAGTGCACCCATCCTGGATCTGCCCCAGTGTATAAACTATAATTAAGAGTTGGGAAGGGAGTCATGCAGACAAGGATCAGTAAATTACCAGGCAATGAGCAGTCTCACACATGCATTGGTTTTGTACATGTATGTTGTAAGGGGCACAAGTAGTCCCATTTAACCCAGATTGTCTACAGGCCACAGTTGATCAAGTGATGGATAGCAGTATTCACTGGATAATTCTCTATCAGTGGATTAATGTAATTGGTTTCCCTAATACTTCTCCACTGGATTTTGATATATCCAGTGGATAAGGTCATCTTTCAATAGCCAGCATTGTATCACAAGGAAGTTTAATTGGCCATACAATACACTGCATTCAATTAACTCATTCAGCTGTGTTTTGGAGCAAAATATTAGGTAATTCGTAAATCACACACCAAATTACGTACAAGATAATCACTTTTCAGCAGTGGTGAAAGTGGAGACAGAGGTCAAATTAACATGTAAACATCAACAGTTTTCATGTCTTGCATTATTTTTTTAGTTGGAGATTTACCATCCCAGCATGTACCGAGCATATTTCCGTAAGAATGACATGGAGGAACCACCGCCCATTGACGATGGTGATGAAGACAAGGAGACACCAGCACATGTGATACAGAACAGCAAGGCAGAGGATGAAAGTAACCTTGAGGCCAGATTTTACCGATATGGAGTACGGCCAGACTGGTTACAGATTCATCGCATCCTGAGGCATAGGTTAGTATTACAGGCACGCCGGGCAGGGTTCGTCAGAGTGCACAGTGAGGGGGGAAAATTCTGGAAACCTGTAACCCTGACAGGGTTTTAGTAAATGTATCTGAGGCAATTTTATTCTTGAGAACAATATCTCTTGTTTCTTCAAGTCATTGAGTCCTGATTTGCTGTGATTTTTAGAACTGTTTAACCCTTAAAGTTCAAGAGTGACCCACATGAATTTTCCCCTCACAAATATCAATACAGTATCAAAAGAAAAGGTTAGGAGGTTTGATAAAACGATCACCTCAGGGAAAATGCTTTGATGTTTTATCAAATTCTCTCAACTAATTCTTTAAGGAAATCTATGTAGAGCAGTTTGGAGAATTTGCAGGTGGATATTGGGGCTTAGAGGGTTAATGCCCTTTCATTGTTAGATTTTCTTGAAGTAAATACCATGCAAAGTAATCATAGTGAATGCATCTGCATGATCTGTTTGATGAGAACACTGAATGATAGTCCAGAATATGGCAGATAGACTAATAATTCCAAATTCCATGCAATGGCATGGTTATAGAGCAGCGAAGAGATGACAACACTAAAACTAGTTTCAAGAAATTACTGGATTTGGTAGTAAGAACTGGCCATGAGCCAAACTTCTGCTAGTTATAATAGCAAATTGATGGTGAGATGTACAAGCAAAACTATGCTATGATAACTCCATATGAATTCTTCTAAAATTAAGTTGCCTCTGAAATTTTACCATCCAGGTCAACAGAAGGATTTATTTAGAGTTGCTACCAATTTCTCTAACCAGATGGACAGTTTTCGTCTTGTTCTTACTCAGATCATGTCCCATAGATCACAAATTCAAATTTTTGTGAAGTCATACTTGTCTACACTATTTTCTAATAGAGAAAGACAGTGTTTGTGCTGCACAGTGGTGTCATTAATTTGACAGTGTGTATGTACCAAATTGTTTTTTTTTTTTGTCATATCTGCACAGGGTACCCAAGCAGTCAAAAGAAGAGTTCCTTATTAAATGGCGAGATGTTCCATACAATCAGAGCACCTGGGAAAGGCCGGATGATGCGGTTAATTCTCAAATAAGGTTGGCTAAAAGACCATTTTACATTATTGTAAGACCCGCTTAGGAGCGGTTATGTCTGTTGTTTATATTTCAAATACTGTCATTTTTGTCTTTTGAGGAGTAGGCCAAGTCCCTGTGGATATTTAACCCATCCCTAGTCGTTTGTCACCTTTTCATCTAGTCTTATGTTGGTATTTTAACCCTTTGGGTCCCAAGAGTGATAAACATCAATTTTCTCTAAACAAAATCAGTACATAATCAAGGGAAGAGGTTATGAGAACTGGTGTTAAAATGATCACCAAAGGGAAAATGCCTTGATCTTGTATCAAATTCTCCCGATTAATTCCTTAAGAAAGTGTCTTGAGAACAGTCTGGAGAATTTGTATGTGGACATTGAGGCTTCGAAGGTTAAGGCCATGTTGCTTTTTTGGAATTTTACTCCAACAAGGTCTCAGCTGTGGGCTTAGTACCGTAGCCTTTGATTAAATGTGAGGCTGAGGTTGACCTTGCTTGGTTACAAACCTCCTTTGATTTCTTATGTTTGCAAAATACCAGTTAGCATTAGAACAACATTTACAAAAGAATGCAGAAGAGGTTGTATCAAAATAAGGTCAATTCAAGCCTTGTTTCCATCTGTAATTCTAAAATGGCCTATTCCCTGCTAGTCTGCTACACAGCCGTTTTTAGTGTCGTCACACAATGCTCCTCCCCATTAACGGCTGCTGAAAACTGAACTACATTCCTTTCCCGTGATTAGCCAATTATAATTCAGCTCCCATTTTCTGGAAGGTGTTCGCGCCACCTTTGCGGTACTGTGACTCCTCCAATCACAGCTTTGCTTTTATCGTTGCCCCATGTGTGAATGACAGAATAATCAAAATCGTCGCGTGAAAACAAGCAATTAACTACAGTGTTGTCGTAGTCGAGTCGTATTCAGAATTTAGGAGATAAGCAGCAACAGCAAGCAAGTCGAGCAAGTTGCAATGCACAACATGGATGTGCTCATAAAGTTGCCAGGTATAGTTTCGGGAAATCGCGCATCAATAATTTGTAAGATTGCTTTTTGAATCAGTACCCTTGAGAGTTTAGTCTTCACAGAACACAATAAGCACATCCGGTACATTAAATTCTTCACTACAGATCAGCACATATGCACGTTAATGAAGAACCAACTGATCCTGGTAAAAGTTTTCTAGGCGTATCAAACCTTTTTTTCACTCGGAACTTTCTTGACCGCTTAAAACAAACTTTTTTGCAAATTAACCTTTTCATTGCTTGAAAACACAGAGCCCGTCTAAATTCAGCGACGATTGATTGATTTGTCGAAAACTGAGAAGCATGCTCGCTTCCCAGCGCCCTGCGGCTCACATATTGTCAAATTTCTTGTACATGATTGGTTTGTTCGTTAGACCACAAACACAAAGGGAAAGGAACCTGGTTCGGTTTTCAGCAGCCGTTAGTGGGGAGGAACGTTGCGTGACGACACTAAAAACGGCTGTGTAGCAGACTAATTCCCTGCTAGTTATTTTTGTTCTGTTAGCACAGGTGAAGTCTCTGACAGTGTGCCTTCTGTAAGAAGTTGTAGCAGATTGTTTTGATAAACCCAAATAAATTTATTGTACTTTAAAGTTAATTCATACTTTTGAATGTATTGTTTTTTTTCTAAAGTGACTTCAAGGACCACATAGCAAAGTACAGGGAACTCAGGTGAGGGAGTAGTTGTCGTTATGAAAGCCACAGTTTGTTGAAATAACTTTTTCACGAAGTTCATGAACCATTTCCAACAGAAGTATTTTACTGTGGACAATAAAGGGTTCACCTTTCTTTCATGTGTTATAAATTTGCTTCTAATGACAGAATAGAACTCCTATGTTTTTCTAAGAACATCTACACTTCCTGGTATACTTCTCTTGTCTATGATTGGGACCATTAGTAACTAGAAACATAGTGGAGGCAAATATATTTGACTAAACCACCCTTCAAAGATAACTGACTCCACAAGACTGTTGAAATTTGAGGTGTCGGTAAATGCCCCAACAGGGTGAGGGTGTATTGTTTTTTTTTGTTTTGTTTCTATTTTGGCCCTACCCAAAACATAAAGAAGAAAGGGAGAAAAGGGCAAAAGAGACTGACTCCACCCTGGCTGGCTTTTACTGACACCCTTATATTTCAGGGAAAAATCATTAAGTTGAATTATTTACCTTTATTTTGCTTTGAATTTAATAATCTGTGTAATGTATTGTAGAGATGCTTATGAAAAGAAGATAAGCAGTAAAAAGAAGCCCAGCAAACCAAAGAAAATGAAGAAGCCAGTGCCAATTGGGGATGTAAGTATTGCCAGCAGTTGTCAGTTTATTTTCATTATTCTCAAGTCATACAGGACCAGATTCAACCCACTGTCATGTAACTTTCTTGCACATCATGGTACATTAACACAAAATTACATAAAAATCCCACCTTCTCGGAGGACAAATTGTGTTATAAAAATCAAAGAAACAAACAAAATCCAAACTGTCACAAGAATATTGGATGATGGTGGGTCTTAAAAATGAATTATTGTAACAATCATTTCTACTATTGCCAAAGAGAATCTGTACTAAAATGATTATTAATTCAATGAAAAACTCAATAGTGAACTTAAAATCATTTCTGTTAAAAAAAGCTCAACAGAACTTTCATATTGCTATAATATTGAACTCAGCTGTATTAGAAAAAAAACAATGTCTTAAACACTAAACATAAACTTTTAAACATCCATTTGATGGGGATTTGATCATGTTATTTGCAAATATGAAACCATCTAAAGTACAGCAATGGTATAGTGATTTTGGTAATTTATATGTCTCCTCACACAATGGAAAACTTCAAATTAGCCTGAATCATTCCTGTCCAGCAAAACATGTTTAGAAGTATCCAGGCAATCTTGTTATAATAGCCTTCATTTTTGTATTGACATTTTGGCCCATTCGTTTGAAAATAATATAATTTGTTGGAAACTCTTTAGAAACGTATTCCTACTGATATCCAGACAATCTGAATCAGATCAAACTTTGTAATTCACTTAATGGCAATAGCTAACAATAAAGTTACAGGGTTGATACAGTCAAGGTTTTGTTGACATAGATCGCCTCTGGTTTCTGAATTTTATGTGAGAGAGGCTTTTGAAACAAAATATACCCTAGACCAGTTTTAAACTCTCTGAGAAAAATATCTAGTACTTAATTCTGCATGCCATTTCCCTTAATCTTTGAGGAAGATCTTTGATCTTTTGGGCTGGGGGTTAACTCAGCCTCCAAAGATAGGATATCCTTTTGAACTCCCCACCTCAGTGTTTGTCTTCAGTTCAGTTTCAGTTTCAGCTGTTGAATGTCCGTCATTCGACATAGGCCCTCCCCACTAACCTCCACTGGTCCATGTTTTGGGCGACACATTGCCAGCATTTTAAGAAACAATTCAAGTTGTCTCTCCAACTTGTCCTTGGTCTTCCTCGGTTCCTTGTGTGTTCCCAGGGCATCCAGAATGTAATGTTGGTTAATATTGTGTATAATGTACTGTACTACATTGTTGTAACTATAATCTTTGAACCTAATAAAAAGTTTATATTGACATGTGTAGGATGAAGATCCTATTTCAGATTCAGAATCTCCAAAGGTTGATAATGCAGATAAACCTGTCAATGATGTAAGAAGCTTAAGTACATTATTTTATTGTAACATAAAAATTTTACTTGTGTTTGTAATTGGCCTCAAATGACAAAATCTGGTCATATTAAACAATCTGTGTTAAAAGCAAAATTTACTCTTGTTCACTAACTTCACAAATAATATGTTAAAATTTTTAACTTTCATTTTCCTTTTAGAATGATTTTTTATAACTCAAAATGAATGAAGTTAACCTTCCATTGCTAAATGTAACCTCAGACATTTAAACAAACATAATTAAAGTAACCCTTGCTGTACCCATTTTTTTTGAAAAAATTGTTAAGTGACAAGAAACCCTTCATTAATCTTTACATTAAAAGGAATACATTTAACAAGTAAATGCTAATGTTCACAGCCTACCTAATAGTCGGTTAATATTTTTTGAATAAGCCAGCAGATATCTAGAATATGTAATACAACAAAGTTAAGCCAATCAGAATTTGGTCAGCAGATTCCTCCCTCCCTCATACCTTGGGTACTGATACATAAAAATAATGCCTTCCATCTTTCTTGTGATTATGCTGGGATAACTGCACAGATACTTGTATCCAAGTCACTGGTGCATGCCTGAATTGCATAAACTACTCTTGGTTTAAACTTGTTTTGACTGTATATGTTACAAAATACCTTTAGGTCGCACCACTGACTCAATAGCCCATGTTCGATAAATTAAAATTCTAACATGACTCCTGGGTTTTCTGGTAATTTTTCTTTATTTGGTTTGGTGCTCAAGTCTCTTCAGGAAATTGCAAGACATTGGAGTCGTAATGTAAATTATTTATTAAACTGTTTTGTAAGAACAAAGGTACTGTTCACAAACAGTTCTGGTTTGTCCTTACAGCCACGTGACAAATATGAGGAGCAACCAGACTTTATAACAGCAGGTGGCGGTAAGCTACATGAGTATCAGATGGAAGGATTGAACTGGTTACGCTTCTCTTGGGCCCAGGGTACCAACACTATCTTGGCTGATGAAATGGGGCTTGGAAAGACAATTCAAACCATTGCCTTCTTGTATTCACTATGGAAGGAGGTATGACTGTTATTTAGCTTTAAGGTCTATCATTTATTGATAATTATAGTGAATGATCGATTAGGTGCCACGGTGCCTATTTGATTTTCCATGTAAAAGGTGTGGCGCTTATTCAAGAGTGGCGCTTATTTCAATAGCGGGGAAAACACTGAGGGAAGTATATAGAGAACTCTAACTTGAGCAACAAACCTTACAAATATGTACATCTCGAATTGTTATGTAAACCCGGTTTCAAGAGTTTCCCTTACCTTAAAACGAGAGAAGCTCACGAGTTGGTTGTGGTCTTATTTGTCAAGCAACTTGGTTTTCATATCTCTTTATATCAAGCGCCAAAACAAAGGTTGGGCGTTTATTTGTAAATACCCAAATTAGCACCGCAGCACTTATTAAATTATTTTCGGTGTGGTGCTTATTCGAGAAGCAGAAAGAAAACAAGCGCTTAGGTCAATTCTCCATTTTTGGCAATTTTAATGCATAGACATAAAGATGGAAACAAATTGGGCTTAAAGTAGGGTCCCATGTAGTATCCTTTGATTGCATTTTATTCGTGGCTTTTTAGAGTCTGTTTCTAAAAGGGAAGAAATCAAGGTGTTTTTCTGACTCTCATCTGCCTCTCCACCTCTTGGTTTTTTTGTGCTCTTGTTTGAGCCAGGAGATTTTATGACCTCTTTAATGTGTGTATGTTTTCAGATTATTTATGATGAGTACCAGTTTTTTTACATGTAACTGGAAGTTGTTATTAGTTAGCTTCAAACATTGTTTACATAATTCATACTGTTAACTGTTGTTTTTAGGGCCATTCACCAGGTCCATTTTTAGTCAGTGCCCCACTGTCTACGATCATTAACTGGGAAAGAGAATTTGAATTTTGGGCTCCTGACATGTACGTGGTTACTTATGCTGGTGATAAAGCTGCCAGGGCAACCATCAGGTAAAATAATTGGCACTGATGTATTTCCTTTATGCAGTCTACATGATTAGTTGATAGACAGTGCAAGACTGTGCTCAAGCAATGCCCAGTGGCCCCTGATGCCCATATAAGTTTTGCTGTTGGGTGACTAGAACATCTTAGTTTTTCATACAAGTCATATACTGGGCACCTGGATTTTATAGGTTTAGAGCTCTGCGCTCCCTTATTTCTCTTAAAGCACAGTCTTGCAGTGCCATTGATCAATCGTTCGATCAATTAATTGATGGCTTGTTCAGAATATTATAAGCAACCAACAAAGGCTTCTACTATACTGTCCTTAACAAATAACCTTTTTCAAAAACCTTTTTCCTCAGGAATTATGACTTTACATTTGATGAAGATGCTGTAAAACAAGGACTGAAACCTCATAAATTAAAGGTTTGCTTTTAACATGACCAGGATTGTCTGTGATGTTTTAGATATGATGATGGCCAATCTGTTATTACTCACATGGTATTTATCATTAGGATGGGCTACTCCAGGAATTGGCTATAATCAAGAATATTTGATTAGGTTATCACCTTGCAAGCCTGCTGATTGTATAATGAATTTAGTATTAAAAAAGTATGCATTACATGTACATTGCAAGTCAACCACTTCATTACACAAGTGCTTTTGTTGTAAAAGCTGAGAGAAGTATGAGGAGGATTCAAATTGAGATTTTCCTCATGGCTTCACCATTAGCTATGCATGATGGTTCCTCTTCCAAAAAGCATTTAACCCACAAGATTTCCCTACTAGTTGGTTTGCAAATTGAATTAGCCTTTTTATGCAACTTAGGTTACATTCAAAAATACCTCAAACCATTGTATGATTTAAGACAACTCTCTCTTACACAATAGACTACTATTTTATTGTTGTGAATTACACCCCAGCCTTAAGGTGAATATGAGGCTAGGGTTGGCTTTGTTTGATACAAACCTCCTTTACTAATTTTTCTAATGTAGATTTTGCTTTAAAAATAGTAGTTAGTATAAGAACAAGACAATTTACATAAGAAAGTAGGAAGGGTTGTATCAAAACAAGGTCAACTCAAGCCTGGTTTCCACCTTTTAAATGTAAAGTTGGCTTTCGGACTAGTACTTCTCACACTTTGTCCTTTGCCTAGGAAGAGTAGATTGTTAATACTGCGTGTTCTGGTTTGCAGAAAGATCACCCTGTGAAGTTTCAAGCACTGTTGACGTCATATGAACTGGTGTCAATTGACATGACCACCCTGCAGTCTATTGACTGGGCTGTATTAGTGGTGGATGAAGCTCACAGGCTTAAGAATAAACAGTCCAAGGTTAGCCCAGAAATCTTAAACACAACTACTGTAAATACAATAAGTAGGCAGAACTCAAACAGCCAAGGATTTCTTTTGGTTTTACCTCTCTATTTTTTAAAGTAGCCAGTAGTCACCTTCATAGGAGCCTGGGAATTCCATGGTCCTTGGCTTTTGCAGACAGCCCTGTGCACCCCTTCTTGGTTCCAGGGCATGTTTTCTGTTCTTTTCTCGTCTCTATGAACTGTGTTCTCTATGTTACCTCCAAAGTTAGTTTCACTTATAGCCAAGTTAAGTACTTGTAGATATTTTGCGAAACAATAATCCTAAATGATGAAAATACAGACAATGTCACTTGTACAGGAATGCAAGAGGACTTCTTAACATACTTAAATAGAACCAACTTAAAGAGCATCATTAACCGGCCCACAGCCAATTACTCCTTCATATTTTTTACAAATAGCAACACAGTAACGTTTCTTCTACTGCCCCGAGGTTATCTCTGTGAGAGAAACTCCCATCATTTAATATTTGGATTGTCTTTTTAGTTCTTCCAGATTCTCAGTGCCTATTCAATAGACTATACCCTGCTACTGACAGGAACACCTCTTCAAAACAACCTTGAAGAGCTTTGGAATTTGTTGAATTTCCTTGATCCTGCAGAGTTTAAGTATGCTATTGTTTTTAACTTTAGTGAAAGCATAATTTAATCCACTTTGTTTTTTTTTAAAATGTTACCAACTAGTAAGAGGTCAAAGACACAAATATCGATCAACAACATGTATCCTGTAGGATGCGCAGATCAATCATGTAGCCTGAAGATGTCTTTGAAGAATATCCTGTTTGTGAATTCAAGTCTGTTATAAAACTTTCGTGAATTCAAGTTAGCAATATCATCTGCAATGAAATGGGTCCAAAAGTAATGACTTAAAAAAAAACAAAGGCATTTCTATGCCTAAGCCCCAATAAAATCTTTTGTTTTTGAACTGAGACTCATCATTTTTCTCACCTCTGCAATTTGTAACAAAATTACTGCAGGAATGAAAATCATCTTTCTCAGACAAGTGCCAAGCCCTGCAAGCTGATCTTTTGTTACAATGAACCCTGTTTGGGGGACAAAGTTAGTATATCTGATTATTCTTATTTTTTTCTAATTCAGGAGCCAGAATAGTTTCCTAACAGAGTTTGAGGATGTTGCTAAGGAAGACCAGATTAAGAAGCTTCATGATATCCTAGGTCCCCACATGCTGCGGCGTCTTAAGGCAGATGTCTTGAAAGGAATCCCCTCCAAGAGTGAGCTTATCGTCAGAGTTGAATTGAGTCCTCAACAGAAGTATGTTTGCAGATGTTTTGGAATCTTCTCATAAAATAGCCATTAATCCATTTTGTTTATACAACAGAAGATAGCAGTTCATGAAAGTGTCTCAAGGAACTTTTGGGCTTATCTTTCAACATCTGGGTTTTGGTAAAAGGATGGTCCAGAAATCTTAAAGATCACAATACTTGGCCAGAGCTAGTCGTGACTTTTTTTCAGAGATGTCCTAACAAAAAGTGGTGGTGACCAACATTTTACTATTTGCCTATGTTAGTAGTGTTGACACTTGTATTAATGATAACAGGGCCTTCTACAGTATGCTTCAAGTATCAAGAGACATGTTTCCAATTAACTGTGAAACCAAGTGACTATTCAGACAAGTAAACAAAATCACTGTGAAAGGACAAGATATGTGAAGTATCTTGCCAAGTTCCTAGGCGCCATTAATACCATGCAGCTTGTTTGGGGTCACATGGTCTGAGTGATGCTTTAGTATTTTGTATTGCCTAGTTTTTAATAATGTATATATTGTATAATTACATTTTACTGTTTATTACCTAGCTTTTTGCAAATTCATAATTCAGATTTTTCTTTTTTTTCTTAATTTCCTTATTTTACTCTTATATCAGGCGAAGAGCCATACCATGGATGTACTGATATAATTTAAACCATTATTATTGTTATTATTATTATTATGAAATTTAATGACACAGATAGCGTGAGTAGATACAATACAAGAAGAAGGCAAGTGAATGTCAGGTCAGCACTCAAAGGTGTGGATTTAAAAATTGACTGTTTTTTTGTGGTTTGTTTTACAGGAAATACTACAAATACATTTTAACAAGAAATTTTGAGGCTCTGAACACCAAAGGATCTCATCAAGTGTCTTTGTTAAATGTTATGATGGAGCTGAAGAAATGTTGCAACCATCCATACTTGTTCTCTTCTGCGGCCCTGGTAAATATGTCAGTTTGATATTTCTGACTTATGTAACATTATTATTTGAAACTTGATGCATGGGGCGAAAAAAATAGATTTGTTTACTCATTTTGAAAGTTCAAAGATTGGAAATTTTTTTCTCACGATTGTTCATGATATACAAGTGACTACTCTGTATAGAATGAACTCAAAATTCTTCATTTTGCACTTGATTAAGCAGTGCATTTCCTTTTGGGAAATCAATCACAACAACCTGAACTATTAACAGATCTTATCCTTAAATACCATTTAGTGATGGGTTGCCCAGGATGGGATCCTGTCAAAGTAATAGAGTGCTTTTGAAAAACGTGTATAGAAAGCAGCAAGCCTTTTTTTCGTACTATCAATGGGCATCTGACCAAGTTTTCCCTTCGCTTATCGTTTATTGTTTATCATCTTTTTGTTTCCTAATTTGAGACATGGACGGCTAGAATCAGACTTTTTCCGTTCGCCAAAGATATAATAAATTATTCTAAATCTCTCCATTATGTTATTTGCATGGACCTTAGGAGGCTCCTAGAAGTGCTAATGGTAACTATGACACAGCAGCTCTTACTCGTGCTTCTGGAAAGCTGGTCCTGCTGGAGAAAATGTTGAAAAAATTACGAGAGGAAGGACACAGAGTTCTCATTTTTTCACAGGTAACGTTATAAACTACACTTTATAGATCCAACTGCTTATGGTGCGGAGTTTGGAGCATATGTACATCGTCATGTCAACTAAGTTGACATGTACATATGCTTCAAATATTACTAACAATTTAGTCAAAGAAAATTCAAGAAAATTCTCAAACAGTTTGCATGGTTGTGAAACTAAGTCATTGGTAAATGTACAGCTGAATATTCTTTCAATATGTTGTTCTGCCCTTCTCTTGGTATCATCCTGTTGGCCTTTGCAAAAACCTTAAATACCTTCAGTGAGTGAAAAACATTACAGTGCAATTCAAAGTCCTTGTCCACTCACCCCCTCTAAGCAAAGCAATGCCATAAATGATTTCATGCCTTCTCCATACTTCACGCTATCACTCTTTTTTAAACCTAGCTATTGTAATAAGTATTATTAAAAACTGAATCATTGGATAATGCAATTCTAGAGCTCTGATTAGCGTAGCCGTCGTGGTATATGAGCCATTATACCATGCTCTCCAAATATGGTAACTGTACGCATCTGTTGAAAATGTAAAAACAATCCGAGAATTGGTTTATTATATACATACTGAGAAAGGGCGTCTGGAAAAACCGGAAACCGGAATCCGGAATAGGAACGGGAATGGGAACAGGAACCGGAACCGGAACCGGAAACAGCAACGGAACAGAAACAGCAATGTGAAGGGGAACCGATACAAGAACAGGGATATCATTTACTTTAAATTATTTTAATTCGAATTCAATTTATACAAAAAATAAGAACACTACTCTGGTATCATGCTCCCCCCCGAATCTCTTTATAATACGGCAGCAAGGAGGTAGAAAAAGCCGCAAGTTAAATAAGTAAAGCAACAGCTTTGCGAGTGCATCGTTTCGCGCTTTCTGTCAAATTCTTCACCGCGTATGCACAACTATGATGTAAATGATCAAATCTTAAGTTCTCTTAAGAACGTGAACGACAGGCAATAAATTTTATTGTGTCATTCTGAGCTCGGACGCGGTCTCCAGCTTCATTTCCCAACCTTTAAAAGACTGGGCAATTTGGAATTAATGAGAAATAGTTTGAATTAAGACCCGAATTCAGTTTCTCAGTGGCGTTTTCGCTGGCGTTGCCGTCGTCAGATCTTAAGGTTCCTTCTGTCTCTCACAGGAAGGTGGTTATCA